CTAGTTAGGCTAAGATGGATAACAAATTGCCAGTACAAAGCTAGACGTTCCCATTGGATGGCACACGCAAGTTCACCATTTTAGATTCTCCAATTGTATTGGTCCAGGACACTTTTAACTATCGATCTCATTGGATCTCGCCAAATTAAGTCAATAGTTTTCGACTAACCATTGGGTATTTCGGTTTGCCTATCAGCTATCTAGTAGAGACCAGTCTAGGCCAGAATGTCAATAAAAACGGTCCCGAAGATTCTATTGGCTACAATTTACTTTCTAGTATTCTTACAATTGATTTACGCATATCCATTGGTCTATTTTTAGGTGGACCCATCGCAATCGTCTGGAGGCCCTATAAAACCCGAGTAGGATTGACGTTGACCACCCTTGGGCCGGAGGACTCCTTCTGGACGCCACCTTCGCTCCTGCATCGTCTCCGCCGCCCGGATCAAACGAGGCTTGCATGCAAACAAGCCTGTCCTCGCCATAGGACATCCCGCTGTTTCCGCACTCTCGATATCGTCTTCTGTCGTTTACAAATAATTCCCCCTTAGGACCTCGCCTTTCTTTCTTACTGGGGACCATACGGGGCATAGCAAAGCGTTATTAGCTCTCATCTCGGCTAGGGTCGTTACACTATATTAGGTCATAATAAACAGTCGATCACTACTCCTGTAATTTCACATTAACACGAACAATATGACACATGATTCAATAGTATTTTGACAGTTTTGATTGTGACTTACCATTTAATGCTTCTTACTCCTGATATATATTCATCTTTTCCAGCTCTTAGTCCAGACAGCGATGGTAAGGCCCCTGAAAACACGTAGGAACTGTGCGACCGACCCCTTACAACTGGCCAGATAGACTGACAACCAGCAACTAGAGCACACCGAAATTTACCCAACAGGAAAATTGTTTCAAGGTCAGGCCGATATCAAAGTTCTTTAATTGCAATGAATGGCATATTATTCATGCCACCATAAACTACCCAACTGCAAACCTCAATTTTTATATTGTACATATCGTTATTTTTTAAAACTTTTGTTATTATTTTCCCTAAGAACTGAGTTTTTTTTTAACTTAAA